GAATGCTGCAGCATTTCTTCAGGCTCTTTGACCCTCAGTGATTTAATGAGCCACATATCTGTCACTTGGGAGAGCTCTCTACCGTACTTCAGCAGCTGTAAAATGGGGCTAATAGCTCTGCCGTACCACAGAGGACTATTGTGAGAATCAATGCATTAAACACTGATGATGTGCATATCCCAAAGATAAGAGAAGTCAGTCCCAAGCTTCCTGAAAAAGAGAAAAATTAATGAGCATCATGTGGAAGAATGAAGGACTGAGAGGTGTTCAGCCATAAAGAAATTTCTTTTGGAACTTACATTGCTGAATACTTCAAAGTTAGAGAAACATTTTGATGGTAAATTGGAATTTTGCTCTACTCTCCTTCCTGAATGTTCTGAAAATTATGAGAATGATCCCTAGCCTGCTCATGGTGATACTTGGTGAGTCATGTATACATTAAAGAATTTGCATCCCGCTTCCATTCATGGGAGCAGTAAGTGTGGCCTTACTAGTAGTTCTAATAGATAGTTCATTTTGACACCTTTCCTGTTATGCATTGCTCAAAGCGCAATGCTTTCATTGATACATGCTCACTACTAACGTGAAAGGAAAATTTTCCTCTTATTAAATTTGATCTGATAGTTAATTAAATCTTGTTATTGAAACATCTTCAACATTTTTATTGACTTTTTTTGCCGATTTGGTATCTTGTTTTAAGATCATTTAAGATTTTCTAAGACTATATTATGACCATTGAAATAATAATCATCAATAAACATTTTAAAGTAGACCAAATGAGTCATTAAAGAGATTTACACATAAAAATAAATCAAATATGTGAGATAATAAAGAAAATCTGCTTTTGATGAAATCTGAGCAGGTATTTAGCTGCAGACTTTAACAAATGAATTAAGTCTTTTAGTGTATACATATATATATACATGTGATCTAGAGGCAGAATTCAATCTGAGAGTAAGACCTATGCTTTGGTCGATGTAGAACCTCTCGGAGCTCCATGTCTAATCTCCCACAACGCTCAATAGACATGTAGGATTCTATTCATTTGCCCAATAATAGGCATCTCATGTAATTTGCTCTGCAGTAAAGGTGTCTTAGACATCTGTATGGAAACTGTCAGATATGACACAGGATGCTCCTCTGGATGGCAGCTGTATGTCAAGTGGGATGCCCCCGGGAACTCCAGGGAACTGAGACCTCGGTGTCTGGGAGGAGATGAATTGTTTTCCAGGCTCTGTTGATTTTGTTCTCTAGAGCTAAGCTGATTGTAATGGGAGCTTAGATACCTTGTGCAGATATAAACAGCTATGCCGTAAATTTAAATGTCTAAAAATGGAGCTGAATTTAATCCCAACGATGGCAACAGGAATGTGCAAACTGTGCTTTAGAGAGACAGAGAGACACAGTCAACACAGACTGGTTAACTGCATGTCCCTGGCTTACCAACTTTGTGTGTATCTGTAAGCACAAACAACATTATAAGTAATGATTTTGTGAGGTTAATACACTCAGAGAAGAAAAAGTCTTTCCACACATACTGTGCCTAACTGAACTTACTGAACCACTTCTCACCCAGAATCCTAAGGAGGAAAATGACAAGACATATATGTGCCATCATATGTGCCATAAGGAGAAACTGGCAGCTCTCAGTAGCAGCAGATGAGGCTTTCTTGCCATTTTTTTTTATTTCAGTATTATTCTGTGGCTTAACTTTGTGCTGGGTGAATTTGTGTTCCCAGGTATAGTTAACATATGTTAATGAGCAATTAGTGGATTTTAGCAACATAACATTTTACAAGACCCTGCAAAGGAATAGAAGTCTATATAGCTACCAAAGCTCACATGATAAATTCATTTGTAATTATGTAGTGAAATTATTGGCACATGCTGACAGATGGACCTTGTTAACTCCCAATAGGATAGCAGAAGTGTTAGGCTGTAGAGTACTAGAGGCTGGGTGAGGTTGTGTGCAGAATCTTAAGACTGGAAATACCTATGAGACTGAAATATTTTCATCTGAATTGCCATTAATATCTAAGCTAGAATAATAATACACTTGCATTATCAATGGTATATATGGATAAAATCAAAGCAGAGTGGAAACTTTTCTGACTTACTAAAGTCAGAAAAGCTAAAACTCATAGATGAATCTGTGACCATAAATGCCTCCATGGGCATCTAACATGTCACGTTAACATGTCATCTAATGTACATATAAGAAGAATTTATATCACCCAGGGTAGCAGATGGTTACATGTAAGCACAAAGAAATGGTAAGCATGTTTCTGGCTTCCATATTCATCTCTGAAAATGACTGTAAACCTATTTTATACTAACAATCTGGGTCTCCAGAAAAAAAAAAAAAAAAGAGATGGCATTTCATTAATGAAGCTATGTTTGGAAGTTATGAGTTTTGCAAACCTAACATATCGATAAAACATGCTTCACAACATTTTTTTTTCCAGAGATTTAGGCAGATGCTTTTGTGAAACTTTAGAAGATGACACAGTAGCCTGAAATGCTAGACTAAGATATAGCTGACTAGCAACTAATTAGTAAAAGGCCATATGATGCGTCAGATGCTGCTATTCTTGTCCCCCAAAAAAGGGCAATAAGTTGAGAGAATGGCTGGAGACCTGAAGAGACTAAGGCGGGAGCCATTTTGGAAGCTGCTTGGGAGCTGGGGCCAGCTGGATGGAGCTGGATGGAGCTGGAGCCAGCTGCCCTTTTAGGCAGGAACTGCTTCAATTTAAGAATACCCAGACATCTGGCATGTCTGGATGACATTAATTGAAAAGGTGGTACATGTCACCTTTTCAAATCAGAAACGAACTTCCTGCAAAACAGTAAAGACACCACTGCTTGGGAAAGGGCCAGTGACATTTTTCTAAAGGACCAAAGATCTTTCTCAGTTTCAGAAATAATTAGGTCATTGATGTATTTGTTGTTTAGCAAAAGTGTTTGGTTTGGGTTTAATTAACACACATGGATATTTTTGGTGTGATCGGATGATTATTTTGGCTCAGGTCCAAAACAATGACTTTTAAACAGACTGTTTATTGTCAGAGTCTGTCCGTGTTGAAATTGCTAGCCCTAAGAATCAGCCTTTAAAATAGAAGCTATTTTGAATTATTAAAGAAAGCAAATAGACAGTAGAGTTCCAAATGAAAGTCTGAATTTTCCCTCCTCAGTTTTTCTGTTTTAACAGAACACAGTTAATTGATATGGTGCCCAGCATAACTTCAAAAAGCAACCAACGCTATACAAATATGTCTATTTTTTTCTTAATGTTCCAATAGAAAGAATTAATTTTCAGTGAGAACAGTCTGGTTCTGTCTTTGTAGCACAAACATTCCAGTGCTCACAACCTGAAAATGAAACAGACCACAGACAAATAGAAAATTGCTCCGCTGGGATAGATAGTATTTTAACAGGTAGTCCTAAGAAAAGGATGGTGAATAACTTCATGGTCCAGTGGTCCAAGGAAGACCTTATTACTCCCATGGCAATAACTTGCTTTTGATACTGATAAGTAGCAAATTCTGGACCCTTGCAAATGTTTTGGTTGCCTGACATGTTAAAACAAGAGTTAAAGCTCCTTTTGCCCTCTTTCTCCATTTGCTCTTTACAATTTTAGTTATCTCAGGCAGCAGTTTGCAAGCTGTTTTTCACACTATCATACAGGAATAGGGACAAATATACAGACTGCTCCACTCTTGGCTGCAGGGCCTGTTCTGTTTTGGGGGAGACATGCAGTATTTCAGGTCATTGCATCTGAGGAGGCAAGGAGCATCGTGGGGTTAGAATAGTTTGAGTATGGAGCCATAATGTGTGCTACAGGCTGGCAACAGGCTCTTTAGCCTGTCATTGCAAACCATCACTGGTCCATGGCTTACCGCCCGTGACTTAGAGCACTAAGGTTTTGTCTATACTAAGCATCAGTTCAGTGGAACAGGAGCAGATCCGCAGAGTAAAACAGCTAGTGCTGAGGACCATCAGGACTATACAGTTGACATTGTATAGTTTTCATAGGTTGTAGTTTGGGCTAGCCCTGTGTGGTCCCGTAGTCAAATGGCCATGAGGAGTTGGAGCCCATTTTGTACAATTCCTGGAGTGTACTTTATGGTCCATACAGAAAGATCCATCCAAAAAGAATCCAGTTCTGCAGTGCTGTGATGCATCTCTGCAGGGCAAACCACAGCACATCAAGTGGGATTAATAAAGAGATTAATTTCAGAAGTATACACTGGTACAAACTAATGTAGAGCTATTCCATAAGAACTCCTTAAGCTTTGCTTTGCATGTATGTCTTTTAAGCTGACATTTTTTCCCCTCAGCTTTTAGACAGTTCAGTCTTTGAATATCTAAGGCACCCTTCGTACGCTGAATAAGCAGCAGAGAGTTGCTTTAAGATAGTGTGTGGTTGATATTATTTTGTGAATTTAATTATACAGGCATCAGCAATCTAATTGTTTTGCCAGACATACCCAGAAATGCAGCTGGTGAAGAGCACCATTTGTTGTCAAAAGGTGATTGCAATTGTTATGTGCATGGCTGTAAAACCCAATTAAATTGATTAGAATTGTGATATGCATTCTTTTTTTCCTAATCAAGATTAATGCGCATTTTGGAAGAAAATAATTCTAATTCACGAGAGCTTGTTGTATAAAATGATTTTTAGTTGTATAACTTTTTAGATTAAAAAAAACAGTGAAAGGAGAGAAACACTAAAGATATCTATATATGAAGTTATAAAAACTATAAACAAATACCAAGTCTGTATTTTATACTTCAAACTTCTATTTTTCTTGTAGCCCAAGCAGCGCACATCAATAGTATCTTCTCTGGAATTTCACCGAATGAATCACAGCCATGATTATTTTGAAATCAACTCATCTATTGGCTGTACAAGTTTTATTTCCACTCCTGCAATCAGCCCAGCTAATTATCCCTTTGGATCTGTGGAAGACAGTATTGAAGAGAGAGAACTTCCAGGTATAGAGAAAAAGCTTACTTGCCTATCAACAGAGCTTTATGAAACTATAGGTCTCTGGTTTTCAGCTGGAATTGTAGTTGTATTATAAAACATCACTTTCTTTAGATAGTACATAATAAATCAACTGAGCATGGTTCACAATTTTACTGCAGAGGTTTTATGCACAAAAAACATTTTATTATTATATATAACTTCAGTTGTAGCAGTAGTACCAATTCTGATAGTGAAATGACATTTACTGAAAATATGTAAAATTATTCCCTATTTTTTATGCTGCTTAACAAAGGGATCTCATAAATATTATTAAAATACACTTTCCCAGAATGTTATATTTTGAATAAACCCAACTCTGTTCTACAGAAATACATGGAATATTGGAACTGTATATCCCTCAATATGAATAGAGAAATGGAAAATTCTAAGCAGTCTGGCATTGTTTCTGCAATAGTACTAGGATTCATTAACAAAGAAAATTAATATATTTGCCATGTCTGTAAGGATACAGTGTGGTAGTGTGATTGTAACTGTAAGGCTTTTATCTATGTGTAGAGTTTACAAATGAAAATGCTTTAACGGGATTAATTAAGATATTTTCTTCTTCCCAGGGCATAAGTTAAGGAGAAAAGAAATGCATGCATTTAGCTACTTCTGTCCCTTCAAATGTCATTTGCAAATTGCTTTATTTAGGCTAAAATCTAGTAGAAGAGTATAGTATTCAGCAAAGCCATTGTACTGAAACAAATCTCCTTGATAACTAATTTACAGGATTTGTAGATAAGAATTATTTCTTTTAAAGGGTTGCTCTATTTAAAATATAAATAGAAGCAGATTGCTATAAAATAGCAGTAAATATAGAAGTACAAGTTAAATACAAACTTATCAATTGACTTCTGTAGAATTTCATGTAGAACTTCAAATGAGGTGAATTTCATACATTTCTGTAGAGTTTTAAAAAATCTGAAAGCTATAGAACTTAAAGCTTTTAAATTGTCATTAAAATTTGAACATCGTAGTTAGATGAGAATAAAATTGTATTGTTAAAGAAATTCTTTAAAATAAATTAGGAGTGAGAAATTCTATCTATTATGATGGAGAAAGAGTTAAAATGGTCAAAAAGAATTAATATTGCTTTTCCTGGACTGGTGTTATCTTTCAGAGAAAAAAAAAAAAAGGCTTATTCTCATTGATACAGCAAATCTTTTCAAGCATAACTGAAAACGATTGATTTGTATTGTTATGATTATGATTAATTTGAATGGTTACTATTATTAATTTGAATAGCAGCTCTATTTCTAGTGTTGGGGATTGTTTTTTTTTTTCCTTTTGTACTGTAAATTCTCTTCAGTAATCAGAATTTTGTTTTAGATTGTTGAATGATAACAAATATGGCTTGAAGTTGAAAAGCAAAAATAAGGGATAGAAGGAAATTCACTGCAGTTGGATAATGAACTTCAACTTTCCGATCTTCCAGAATTCTGGTTAATTTCTTTTCAATATTTGGATTTTGTCTTGTATGGTTGTATTTTTAAACAGATCATAGTCCATAACTATTAATCACTGCATTTCGTTTGGTCTGAAACTGTAGGTATAACTTACTACAATTGTACACTTTTAATATGCAGATGATTGGATTTATGGAGATAGTGAAAGCTGACTGAATTCCTCCTTGTTTCACTGTCTTTAATCAAAAATAACAGAAGCAAAATGTCTGATTCTGAAGTTCTGGGAATATTTTATAAATTTGTCAAGGGTGCAGTTTCCTGTAAGTAAATCAGTAGTTAATCACCAGCAAATTAAATTATTTTGGTATAACTGAGCATGGTTTGTATGCTAGAGTTATTTTAGTAACACATGGCATCACAGATTAGTAACAATCTTAGTCTGAATGAAAAGACCAAGGTTTTATTTTGCTCACTGTTAAAAATTCTTTTGGCTCATGAGTAATACAGATGATGCTCTGTATTTCTGCGAGAGCTAGAGGACACTTTAAAGTGTAAAGAGCAGAACAAAGTCCAGAAGGAATAAAATTGCTTAGAACTTATTATTCATGCTGAATAATGAATACTGAGTTACTCCTTTGCCTTAATCTTTACTGCTAAAACAAAGCCTCTGTGATCAGAGGGGAAGTCTGAAGCAATGAAGACCCCCCCTCAGCGGAGAAGGATCATGTTAGCGAACACGTAGATAGACTGGACATACACAAGTGCATTGACCCTGATAGGGATACACTCATGAGGGCCAAGGGGGCTGGCCCATGTCACTGTGAAGCCACTCTCAAATAGCTTTGAAGTGTCATGGCAATCAGGCAAGGTGGCAAAGGAGAAAGGAAATGTCACTCCTGTCTTTCAGAGGGGTGAGAAGGAGGATCTGGAGAACTACTGGCTGGTCAGCCTTGCTTTGATGCCTGGGAAGGCAGAGAAGCAACTAATCCTGGATACTAATTCCGGGAAAGTGAAAAACAGGAAGGTGATTTGAAATTGTCATCATGAATTTGTGAAGGGGAAATCATGCTTAACCAACATCATAGCTTTCTACAATGACATAGCTGGCTTGGTAGATGAGGGAAGAGCAATGGATGTTGTCTGCGTTGATTTCAGTAAGATTTTATAATTATCTCCCATAACATCGTCACAGATAAATGATGAAATTTGGGCTAGGTAAGTGGACAGTAAGGTAGACTGAAAACTGGCTGAACTCCCAAGCTCAGAATGTTGTGGTCAGTGATACTGAGTCCGGTTGGAAGTCAGTCAGTAGTGGCCCCCACAAGCCATTTTCTTTAATAACCTGGGGGACAAGACCAGAAGCACGCTCAGCATACTCACAGGAATTAGGTGATACACCACATTGCACAGCTGTTCAGAGGGACCTCACAGGCTGGAGAAATGGTAGCGTGGAACCTGAGAAAGTTTAGCAAAGGGAAGTGCAAAGTCCCATAGGTGGGGAGAAGTAACCCCAAGCACTAGTAAAGGCCAGCCTTCTGGAAAGCATCTGTGAAAAGGATGGCCTGGGGGGTTCTGGTGAAGAATAACTTGACCCTGAGATAACAACTCTCCCCTGTGGCAAAGAAGGCCAATGATAGCCTGGGCTCTGCCATGGTAAGATGTTTGTCATCTTCTAGAGTATCCAAACACATGGTTAATGAACAAGACAATACAAATGAAAAAATACAGACCTGATAATCAGGTGACTGTTTCATCAGTGGGATATTCCTCATGTAATTTTTAATGTGAACAAAGACAACGGAATATGCAAACTCATTCATTCCAGAAGAGGGCAGTCAGGATTTCCAGTGAGCTGCCTCTCTAATTTTATGGCTCTATGTCTTGTTATATGCATCCCTGAAATTCTTTTCAAGCTGTATAAACTCAAAGATCAAAGAAGACAAAATCATGGTATCTTCCTAACCTCGGTTTGGCATAGTCAACACTTGCAGCTGAAATTTACCACTCTCCCATTGTCACATAATTGGGATTATTTTATTTCTCGTTTCTGCTTAATCAGTCAGAATAATGTGTCTTTCTCTAACACGCATTAACTTCATTACATCTTATTGTACTACATATAATTAGCTTGTGCAATTAAAGACCTTTCTGTGTAAATTTATGTTCTGTTTCAGATCAGAAAGTAGCCTGATCTGAAGTTCATTTATGCAACAAAAATATAAGCAGATTTCTAAAGGTAATCTCATTGCAATGCATCTTCAGCAATAGCTTCTTGTTGAAAAAAAAAAAGGATAATATTTTCTGTTCAAGCAAATCTCTCAATTTTCAACAAATTCTGCATGTCATTTTTCTGTCAAAGGACATACAGTTTTTCATTCATATTGTTGTGATACTTAAAAGGATTTACAGATATAATGTCTGTACTGTAGGACCTTAGGATTCTTCCTCTTTTTATATATCTTATTTTCTCACTATGGGTATTGCTACTTCATTCATCTTGGAAGGCAATATTCCTCTTTAAGTAAGTGATCTAGAATATGCAATTCAAAAATGCAGTCTTTGATAAGTGTTTTGTTTTTCAAGGAAAAAATAACTCTGGAGTCACACCTTAGTTTCCTTCTAGAAACATAATTAGATCTTTATTGGAAGCAAATACCTGATCTAGCTGTTTTGTCTCACAAGCCTGTGACTTTCAAAGGAAGTGTGGGTCTACACTCAAGGATAAGCTTGCAGCTTAATCTTTCTTTTTGGAGAGAATCAAGATATTTAATGTATGCTGTGACTAGATGCATAGCAAAAGGATCTAAGAATTGCAAGAAGTATGGTCTAAAATTCCTGTCTGTGTTGAATTCCTGGTTAGAGTCAAAATTTATTCTGCTTGAGAGATATTCCTCTAGGTGACATTACCAAAGCCCTATTTATAGTAGGTCATGTATTTGTCAACATCAGTTTCTTATTCAGATATCTCATTTGATAAGAGCAAACTGTGATGTCTAGTTGGACTTTTCAAGCCTTGTATCTTCAACATAAAATTGTATGAGGATGGCTAGTAGTGGAATACAAAATGACTTTGAGTGGAATACAAAATGAAAGAAATAAAAAGAAAAGAGAAAAATGCATTTAGATTATATTAAGCCAAAAAAATACGTGTGTTTTCTCCATTTATAGAGAAAGGGAGAAATGTTAATGTATAATGAAATAATCTTATTCAAAAATGGTGGCAATTAAAACATTCTCATCTCCTGCATATGATCACCTGCACAACCAGGTAGGCAACTCCTCAAAGAGCTGTAATTATCAACCTGTAGCTGATCACCGCGTTGTTGACCAAGAACTATCTTACAGATGAAATGTATTAAAAAGTCAAATATAAGCTCTTTTTCCTCTCTTTTTCATCCCCTTCCTGATTATAATACACTGAAATGTGCACATTTTCCAAACCTTGCTAATTTGGGCATTCTCAACTGTGAAGATTATCTTTTTTTTTCCCCCCAATTTATAGCCAAATTCAACTCTGTGCAATTAGTAAGAAATAGTAGAGCTATTCCAGGAACTTG